TGCCCAGAACCACCACCATGAGAGCTGGCCCAGGTCAGGATTGGAAAGAACATTCCGCCCTCTTGTCGGGGCTATCAGGAGGGCAGACAGAACTTTGGCCCGGAGCCTTGGGGCCACCAACAGAGCGCAAAGGACAGGACTGGCGGGACACCAGCCAGAATTGAATATGGAACCTCAAGACACAAGGCCAGAGCTGTGGCTGTAACTGATATCCAATCAGATCATCAGTCTGCATTTAGTCAAAGGCTTTCTGGTATCTGGGGGCCAGAGAGAGGTTGTGAGGGGAGGAAGCATCAAGCTATTCAATCAGGTTTTGGGGTAAAGATTTGATTCAAAAAGTGGTTGATTCATCCACTTTGGTGCCATAGAAACCTCAGACCCAAGCACGGAGAGAAAGAAACTACTTACTACATAGCAGGGACTGCCTATTCATCATCACAGTTACTGCACCCTCGTAATAACTCTACCCACAGGCATCTTTACCCCCATTTTCCAGATGAAAAAATTAAAGGCTCAACGTTACCCACTAACTAATAAAAGGTAGAGCCAGGTTTCAAATCCAGGTCTGTCTGGCCCCAGAGACCAAGGTTTCTCCCCTCCACTCTGTGCCTCACCACAGAAAAATGCTCAGACCTAGGAACACAGGATACACAGAACACCATCTGTATAAGCCTCCCGACCTACAATGGACTTTGATGGCATTGCACAGCTGCTCCAAGGTGGCACTGGAGGCAGGTATGATGCTGATGCATCCACGTAGACTCTGACACAAACACACACACACACACAAATGAAAGATGGACACAGGCTTGCACGGGCTCCAGTTTACTGACTAGGTTGGCCCTGCGGGAACAGTTTTATTTCTCTCTAGTCAGTGCTCTTCCGCAGGCCTTTAGGAATCCTGGGCAGAAGTGGTCGCCAGCCTCCTATGCAGTGCACACCACATCCCCTCCCACCCCCACTGCAGGCCAGCCTTTTGCTCATGGATTTTGGAGGGCAGGGTAGGCTCTGGAAGCACTCCTCTTTCCCCATTGTCAAGGCCTGGCTCTGGAGTTGAGGGTAGATGTGGTGAGGAAATAGGAAGGCAAGCACTGCTATCATACCTTCATGTGTCCCCCTGGCTTCTGAGGCCCAGGGGCTTCCCCATGCATACCACACCCCCAAAAAGGCAGCCTGCTCTGGCTCCCCTGTCCCCCTAGTCCTACCACTGGCTATACACCCCATAATTCTTACTGTCGAGGTCCTCTTCGCAACAGGCAGCCTCCTGGGTGGGGAAGCAGTGCTGGCTGAGCCTGGGTGACCTACCCACTGGAAAAGGCACACATCTGTACCACATTAGAGATGGGCATGCAGACCATGCCATGGCAGGCCCACTCTTGCCTGGTCTGTCTTTAGTCTCTCCTCTCCCTGCACCAGTCACGAGAGGCTGGTCCCATGGGATGGTGATGTCTCTCTGCTCTTCTTTCAGGGCCCCCAATTTTTGTGACTGATTATCTTAGAAGACCCCTAACCAAGCCGAAGGATCCCAGTTGTCAATTCCTCAGCCCATTTTTCTTTTAGAGGTGGGGGTATGTGGCTGAGGTGCTAGGTGGAAGTCACAGAAACTAGAAGGAAGGCTCTGGCACCTCTCTTTAGAATGGGGAGACTTAACAATTTTTTGTCCTCTGTTTCAGCTCTAGTCACTCATCTCTGGGCATTAGGAAAACCCCTCTCCACATCATATCACACATATAGCCATAACGTGGAAAAGTAAAGACCTAGGATGTGTGTTGTACCAGCGGTGCCAACAGAAGTAAGAACATTGCTCTGGGATTCTGGTCCTAATTGATCCTGGATGGGTACACCTTCAGTGTCAAGGTACTGCCCTTAGGACCCAGAATCCAGGTGCAGTTGAAAGCCTGTCCTATTCTTCTTTTCTGCAGCAATTATGATCTGCTAACTGCCCCAGGTTCAGACACACACACACACACACACACACACACACACGCCTTCCAGCCCTCAGCATTACTTTCAAAGCATTCTGCAGGGACAAGAGGCAGAAGCCTTTCTGAGGGCTGCTCTCTGCCCCCTGGAGGCCCAGCCATGGCCCAGGCTCAGGGTGCTAAGCAGGAGAAGAATCCTCATTCCTCCTCACGAATGGTACCTGCCCTGGGCTCAGCATGCACGTGTGTTTTCTGCCCAAGTGCACAAGCAAGAAGAAAAAGAGTAGTTGCAGAGACTCAAAAGCAAAGGCAGAACAAAGACCAAGTCTATAATGGCAAGACAGAAATCTCTAAAGCCAATGCTCTCTTGACTTGCATCAGCTGCAGCAGCCTTATCACAAAACAGGTCCAGCAAACCACCCGGAACAAAAGGGCCAAGGAACCCATGAGTCACTGAGCTGGAGAGGCCTGCAGAGGGAAGCTGGGGCTGCTCCAGCGTGCACAAGGCCCTATGCACATGGCTGCTTCCACTTCACCTCCATGGGCTCAGAGGATGAGGGCTTTATCAGCCACAGTCAATACCGGGAGTCTGCAGAAAAGCTACTACTTAGCCATCCTGTTTAGTCGCAAAGCAGCACCTCGGAGCAGAGATCCCTGGACATGGAACAGGACAGAAAGGGAGGTCTGGGACCCCAAACAGGGCAGGGAAGCACACATGGCAGGCAGGGAGGTGGCAAACAAAGCAGCTGGGAGCCACAACCTGAAACCCAGCTTTGGGACCCTCCTGGGCAGGTCTCCACCCTCCTTAGCCTGCATGTGCCCCTCAGCTGTGAGATACAAGGCTGGACTGGAAGTTTGCAAGGACCCACACCATTCTGACTGACAAGGATGATTCTGCCTCTGTGGTTCCCCTAGTAGCTCTGCTCCCCTTGGATGGAGGCCAGAGTACCCCTTCTTCCTGGGATTGTCAGGAAGTGTCAGAAAGCACATGGCGGGGCAACCTGTCCTGGGTCTTACTGCTCGCTATGTTGAAGCTGAATGAATGCAAGCTATTTCCCCTCATTCAAACTGCCTCAGAAGCCTCCAGAAGGTCATGATTGGAAGGGTCTACGGAGACCACTTCCAAATCTTTCTCTTTCCTGAGGGCAGGCCTGAGGCCCTGAGCCATGTCAGGCTCTGCTGAGGGAGCTGGGTGCAAAGCGGTGGGACAGGGAGGCCTAGGCTCCAGTGCTGTAGCGTGGCTGCTCCCCGCCCAGTCTTCAATCTGGCTGGGGGCATAGCTGACATTGTTTAAATGAACCAGTATATAATCTAGAGTGCTGTGCTCATAGGGCCCACCTTACAGCTGCTCAGAAGGACAAACATTTTCCCCAAAAAAGCAACTACATGATGCAAAGTCCACACCACCTCCCACCCGGTGATGAAAGCTAGGATCCCAGGTACACTGGTTTGACCCTTCCTTGCCATGGTGCCAAGATGGCCTGCCTTTGGCACTCACTCATGTAAAGGACATGAGGTGGGACAGGAAGAGGAAGGGCAGGTGAGGCCACAAGCCAGGTGGCCAACACCTGCTGCACAAACACACACAAACTTCATCTTTTCCCAAGTTTATCCACCCACATAACCCTAAGAATACAACTTTAGCACTGTCCTTCCCACTATGCAAAACAGCAAAAAGCCACGTGTGTACAGTGCTGTCTATGCATCAGGAAGCTGGTCAGTGTTATTTAGATATTCACTCCTTTAGTTTCCACATTAAAGGAACACTGTAAAGTAGGAAGGTTGTACCCATTTCAGCAATGAGGAAACTGAGGCTGACAGTGGTGAAATTGCCTGCTCAGGGTCCTATAGCTGGTATGTGGCAAGGCCAGAACCTGAGCCCTGAGCGCTCCCCACTCTAGTTTACAACCATGGACCCCACCTCCTGGTATAGTCGAGAATCACCTGCCTCAGAGGCCAAGAAGCTGGCCTAGGAGGACATGAGCCCAGGCCCTCTCCCATGCCTCCTCCCACCTGATCATGTCCCTACATAAAACTGAAAGTCGTGAGGGACCCTGTTAAAGGGGTAGGGAAGGAGGAGGAACTGGGGGTGAACCAGCTTAAAGTTTTGGTCTCCTTTCAATCAAGCTGCCAGTTCCTACATCCCTGGTCCTTGGCTCCAGTCCCATTCAGCACACCCCTGGGAAAGTAAACACACACTTGTCACTCTGACAGCACAATAAAGAGAGGAAACCAAGGCCTGGAGCAGGAACAGACAGGGCACACAATGCCCTGCATGGCAGGGCCACCAGGCAGAGGCTGCCTCCACCCAGAGCACCATCAATGTGTTCTAGGTCTTACCTGCTGTCCTTTAAAGTCGGGATGTGGCAGAGGCCTGAGAGAGTCCCAGATGTCTTTCTGGAAAGGTCTACCCCAATGTGACCCCCAGGTTGTTGCCAGGTAACCAAATCCAATGGAACAGGTGCCCCTCAATCCCAACTGCCTGCCTGTTTTTCTGGATGCAGCCCAGCTATCACCCCTGATGAAAAGAGGGAGGGGTGTGCTGGTGGCAATTTCAACATCAACTCATCTCGAAACTACTAAGACCTATTTTATCAAGTAATAGGGAGAAGGGGCCTCAGGCAGACATGTGGGCCTGGGTCTGGACAAGTGCTTCCTCCAGCAATGCCAGCATCCCCACTCTCCCTCAACCTCACGCCAGGGGAGTCAACACAGGTGCCAGCCTATGCGTTACAAGCATAAGCTGGCAAAGAAGTATGTGATGCTTCTGTTTGGCTTTGCCTACTATTTAAGGAGTCAGCTCCAAGGCTCTGTGAAGAAGCAGCCAACCACCTCCCATCACAGCCAAATGCAGATTGTCACACCAAGTCTGCACTATATTCTTATTTGACCCAGAGGTGATGCTGTGACACTGAGGCCCTTAGGAGCATGGACCCATAGTAGTGTCATGCTCACTTCTGCAAATGCATGATATGGACCAGAAGCCCAACCAGCTGAAAGAAGCATCGGTCAAAAGCATGTTATTGCGTCCAGGGCACCTTGCCCTGCACTGGCCTGGAAGACAGAGCCTATACTCACCTGTTAAAGAGGTTATTGCGGCGAACCATCCGAAGGAAGCCAGTGGGGTCAGTCACCGAGTTGAGCTTGTTGTTCATCTCTTCAAACTGCTGGTCCATGATGTCTCCGGCTTCACTCTCTGTCTCGCTGCTGGCACAGGCCCTGTGGGAAAAGTGCAGAGAAAGCCAATCAGAGAGAGGGAGCACTGAGCATGGAAGTCTACCTCGAGGCCCTGTGCCATTCCCCTGCCCAACAAATCCTGGTACTGAGTGCCTCCCTGAGGCCAGGTCACCCGCGTCCTCTGGTGTCCCCACGGCCTTCCCTCTTTTGTCCAGAGCTTCTCCAGATGTACTCTGGTTGGTTGTTTCTTCTAGCTGTTGCCCCCACTGGGCTTGGAACTACCCACAAGAAGTTGCTGTGCAGGAGCCAGCACTGCACTCCCTACATCCAGCATGTCCGGACATATACTAGGTGCTCGACAACTGTTTGTGAAGAAACAGCACCATTTGCTGTGCCTGTGGTGGGCTGGCAGGGGTACTCCTCCCAGACTTCTGCTCAGGTGAGTGTGGCTGTGTGGGAATCCTCCTAGCAGGAGTTCTAGTCCATTCCATTCAGGAAATAGTAGCTAAGCACCTACCATGTGCTGGGCACCATTCTAAGCCTGGGGGATACACAGCCCCAAAAGGCATTTTCCAGACAAGGAGACAGACATGCACACCAGTGGCTGCAATGTCAGGCAGAGCAGCACTGTGTGAAATGCAGGCTTGAGAGATACTGCTGATTGGAGCTCAGTTTCCAAGCTCAGCATGGGGATGTTACAGTATTTGAATTAACAAATTCATATTTCCCCTATGACAGAATGTAATAGAACATCTCACAATGGGTTTTAAATAAACAGAAATACCCAGGAGTGCCCTGATTCATCAGTATTATTAAACTGACAAAAGACTTATTAAACGTAAAAGCTGTGCACTGTGGCCCTATGAGACCATGACAGATACCACAGGAGCACATTTGTCCAAGGGAGCGCTGCCACCTGCGGTCTTCACCGTATATCCCAACCTATGGGGTAGTCAGCAAAGACAGATCTCTGTGCCGAGCCCCCACCTTCCTTCAGCATGATGATGGCATTGAATCTGCAGATAACACTCAGCCAACATGATGACTGTTTTAAGTTTTCTGCTGTCTAAGGACCAGTGTGGAAGGGTGGAGAGCACCAGGGAACTGGAGGCAAAGACAGACTCAAAAATATGCAGCCTCTCACATGCTGGAGAAGTGGGATCTGGAAAGGAACGGACTTCCTGTTGCCCAGAGGGAAGAGGTTCTTGCATCAAGATTTAGGTTTAAGGTGAACATGACCTACTTCAAACAGCCAGGCTGGTGAGTCTGTGACATCAGGATTATACGACAGAGAACGGTCATTATGGAGTCAAATGAGACACAGCATGTGAAGCTGCCTAGTAAGCCTGAATTTTCTCTATGAACATCAACCCTGGTGTGATGGTACATTTTTTTTTGTCAACTTGACTGGACCCAGGGTGTCCAGACATTTGGTCAAACATATTCTGGGTGTGTCTGTAAGGCTGTTTCTGGATGAGATTAACCTTTGAATCAGCAGACAGAGGAAATCAAACTGCCCTCCCCAATGTGGGTGGGCCTCATCCAATCCATTGAGGGCCTGAACAGAACAAAAGGCAGAGTAGGAGAGAAATCCCTTCCTGTCTGTCTAGGAGCTGGGACATTGATTTTCTCCTGTCTTCAGGCTTGGACTCGGACCGGAACTTATATCATCAGCTACCCTGGGTCTCCAGCTTGCCAACTACAGGCCTTGGGACTTCTCAGCCTCCATAAGCATGTGAGCCAATTCCTTATAATAAACCCGTGTGTGTGTGTGTGTGTGTGTGTGTGTGTTCTATTTCTCTGGAGAACCCAGACTAACATGCCTGGTAATGAGGCACCGGAGTCCAGACTCAGCCATGGTTCCTTGCAAAGGCTCAGACACTAGGAAAGGTTCCTAGGAGCTGAGGGCCTAGAGAAGTGTCCAGAATGGAGTAGTCTTCAGGGACAGCACAGAGGAATGATTTTGGGGCAAGCCTTTGCCCCAGAACCACTCTGATGGCTGGTAAAGGCCATTAGCCTGCTTTTCTTCCTGACCTACACAATTTGGAAACAACCCTTCAAACCCAGCACAGTAACTGGCATGGCAGGCATGCAGTAGGTATGCCACGAGGAATTACTGAATGAATGACTGATTTATGCCAGAGAGCATTTGTCAAAGTATTTGTACACTGATTTAATTTTACCTGTATGACAACCCTGTGAGGTAGCTCTCATCAACTCCATCTTATTTCTGAGGAGACAGAGCTTTGGAGAAACCAAGGAACTTGGCCAAGGAGCACTAAGAGGTAGAGCCAGGGCTGAACCCAGCTCGGGTCCTGGCACTGACTTCCCCACCCCTCCCACTTTAAGGCTCTAAGCTTCTTACCTCTTCTCTCTCTGCTGGGTTTGACTACGGCAGGGGTGAGGGTGAATATAGGAAGCAAGAGAAATCAAGAAGCTTCTGAGAACCTGAACCAATCGCTGCGGCTTCCATCCTGCTGGAGAGCAGAGAATGAAGTTTTGCTCCTCTCACCTCCCCCAGGCATCAACTGAACAGCTGAGCAGCTGAAGGCTTGAAATGCTCCCTTGGGAGCTGAGGGCCCTTCACAGAGATCCTGGTAAATATCACTCAACAAGCTCCTCTGTCCAGGGACACATTTATCACCTGAATGTGACTGCCTGCTTGGAGCTGGGAAACCTGCTTTTCATTCAGCACTTTGCAAGGAGAGCAGAAAGGGCTGGAACTGCATCAGCCTCAGTTATCTCGCAGCTCCACTCCTGCAGTCAGCAGCAGGCTGAGCCCTCTGAATCTCATGTTTAATGGGGTTGTTTCCTATTTCCTGACTCTTCACAGTATTAACACTGAAGGGAAAAACAAACAGGCTATGTCACAGATAAGAGAATCTCCCTTTTACAAAACAAATCTCATCAATATAGCATATAGCAGGGATCCCAAGAGTCACTGCCACTGGTGGTCCTCATATCACAATCCCCATGCCCATTTCTCTGAGAGACTTTCTAGAGATGGCCTAGTCTGATCACCACGGGCCCTGATTCCATTCACTTCCATTCAACAGTGATTACTGAGTGAGACTGATGTGAAAGAACTAGAGGCTAAGCGGAAGAGAGTCACATTATACCTGTCTTCAAGGCACTTACAATGGTGGATTAAAAAAGGAGCAAGGGGAGGGCACCAGCCCCTAACCAAAAGAGGGAGGGTATAAAAACTTTCCTGGGATTAGCTGCATCTGAGAGGTGTTCTGAAGGCTATAACTTTGACAGGTAGACACTTGGGGGGGGGAGCTTCCAGGCAGATAGAGTGGTATGAGCTAAGGTGTGGAGATAAGACAGCGTGGGGGCTATCCGGGGCCAAGAGAATAGCCTAGTTGAGCTGGAGCAGAGGGTAAGAGTGGGAGAGAAAGAAGAGATAATGTGGAGGGAAGGCCTTAAACTTGGAAGGCGGTTGAGAGCTGTCATTCCAGGCCTCTGAAGAGGGGGGTCAGCAGGCTCAGGGCTGCTCTTTGGGAGATAGTCCACTAGACCAGAGTGGAGAATGCCAATTAAATAGGGAGGGGGGAGAAGAGTTAGATGGCTATTACCAGTACCTGCTCAGAAGCAGCCCTGAAGTCCCAGGGTAAAGCTCAATGAATCCTAATTGGCTCCTCACACCTACTAGAAGCCCCTTTCTCAGAGGAGTTACTGTGTTAATACATTAAGGTGCTTAGGTCTCATTCAACATGCCAGGAGAGGCAAGTTTTCCATAAGCCCCTAGGCTCTGAAATCTGGATAGTGGCTCTCTCTTCTGTCCTGAGCTCCCATCCCCTATCTGCAAACAAACTAGCTTGGCTCTAACCCTACCTTCCTGATTCCTCACCATTTTTTGGTCTCTATTATCACCAACGATGATTCTGGCTTGTCCTGTGGTTGGGCCAGCTATCCCATTAGTCCAGATATGTGACAGGGTGGCAAGGCTGAGAGTGGAAAAGTAGGAACTGACAGGAGAAATATTACCCAAAAAAGAACTTATCTGCCTGGGAAACTCATTGAAGGGAGAGGGAAAAAGACAACTAACAATTAAAATATGGCAGATGGGCAACTGGTGGCAAAGAGAGAAACTAAAAGTAGAAGTTGTTTCAAGCCACTAACTGTGTGGTAAGTTGATGTTTCTCTCTCTCCTTCTTCCCCTCCCTTTCTCTCTGAAATCAATAATGACATATTTAAAAAGAAAAAAAGAAAAGAAGATACTGAAATATCAGGGAACACTTTGTAAAGTATGATTGGTTGACCACTATGCTGAAAAACTGAAACTAATACAAAATAATATTGAATGTAAACTGTAATTTAAAAAAATTTTTTAAATAAAAAAGAAAAGAAGAAAGGTCTCATATAAATAATATAAGCTTCCACATTTAAAATATATATATATCTTTATTGATTTCAGGGAGAAGAAGGGAGAGGGAGAGAGAGATAAACACATCAATGATGAGAGAGTTGTCATTGATCGGGTGCCTCCTGCATGCCCCTGACTGGGGATCGAGCCCACAACCCGGGCATGTGCCCTGACTGGGAATCGAACGGCGCTCTCCTAGATCCTAGGTCGATGCTCAACTGCTGAGCCACACCTGGCCGGGCTATAAGCTTCCACTTTAAGAAATTAGAATAAAATACAGCAAAATAAATGAAAGCAAGCAGAGGAAATAAAATAATAGAGCAGGAATCAAAGAAACTAAAAGAGCAAATCAGTATCTTTAAAAAGTCAATGAAAGAAAAAGTTGGATATCTGGGAAAAAAAATCAATAAAATTGATAAGCTTCTAGCCAGGCAGCCAAGAACAAAAGAGAAAAGGCAAAACTATCAATATTAGGAATGAAAGAGGAAATGTAACTACTGATCCCACAGAAACTAAGAGGATAACAAAGGAATACCACAAACTACTCTACAAATATTGACTCAGCACCTTAGATAAAATGAAACAATTACTAACAAACCACAAACCACTAAAACACATCCAAAATGAAACAGATAATATAAATAGTCCTATAACTATTAAAGTATTATATTCA